TCCGAACTTTGGATCCCTTACAATTTAGTCATTTCTCCAAATTTGTCAATTTTTGCTTATTTTCTTCGATCTCACCAACTTACATCACAACATCAAAATCACACATCTAATTATTTAACAATTACATAAACATTACATTATTAATTATTTAATTAACCAAAAAAATTACATCTTTATTAATAACAAATTAATTATTAAACAAAACTATTAAATATAAACTAGGCAAACGTGCATTGCACGTTGCTTGCACCTAGTATATATATATATATATATATATTCATTACACAGAATCTAATTTACATCCAGACATCTTTCTTAAAGAAACCCATTGCGTTAGTAAATAAGTCAAAACTGAGATGATCCATAATAAGCTATATGTAACTGCTCTAGGATGAGGAACTTCTAAACGTCTCTTCCACTTCCACGACTCGTGTTCTGCTGGTCTGAGTTTTCGTAAATCAGCACGACTGAGCTGTACATTATGTATTTGTTCTGGGTTTGTCCTCTGCAGAATGACATGTCCAGCATGCATACTCAAGAATCAAACTCATGGAGAAGTGCAGATGTTTATGATAAGATTAAACTCTAAGATTATCTCAGTGTAAGGAGGTTTAAACACCCAGTAGAATGATATTCGTTACCATGCAAACAAAGAAAAATCTGGATTTTTTGCAAATGATATTAGCAAGTAATTTTGAATGCAAGTGGGTAAATGTAGAGAATGGTAGCTTGTTATATGCAATTAAATCGGTTGTTTTTACTCTGTTTTTTTTGAGTGGATGAGGGTGATTTCAATAGTGGCCATTAATGAGTTACGAAGTAGGTTAACAGAAGGCTCCTTAAAATGTCAAATCATGCAATGAACGAGAAAGTTACAAACCTCCTGTGAAGATGAAAAGAAATTACTAAAAATCGTTTTGATTTCAAGAGTTACCCTAAAAATGTCACTGCATAAAAACTACCACACATAATACTGGTAGTAGTGATAAAACTAGACTTCGTTAGAAGTCATAATTGAAAACTAAAATCACGACTACTTTAGTCATAATATATACAGTGAAAGGAAGAGAAGCAACTTACGTACAGACTTAGGATCTATATGCACAAAGAAACTTGCAGCAACTATCAGATAGCAGAGAAGGAGCATCAGTCCTTTGAAGTAATTCGACGTTCCCTCCTGCAGGCATGAAAATAATTAGGGAAAGATAAGACTGTTCAACTTCTTATTTTATTTGTCCAGAGTATCTAATCCACCTTATCAAATATGTCAACACGAGAAAAGGGCAGTATTCTCGTTGACAAACAACTGAGAAACATGTATCTTGGGAGCTCACCTGCAGCATGAAGGCCACTACGAGAACAGTCATAAAGAGTGTAGCAGTCTCGAAAAGTTGAAAATTCAAGTCCATAGGACGCCCCATGATCCATCCAACTACCACACAGAAGGGGATCTGTAATTATTGCAACAACTATTAGGGGGTAATCATAGAGCAATGTGGAATAACTAACAAAACAAAAGGGATGTGTAAGAGGCAACATAAAATACAGACATAATTTTACAACACACTGCCGTTATTGGTAAACTACTTTATGAATCAAAGAGTGATCTTCTAAAGGTTTGAACTAATGTTTCTGCACAGATTCTAGTTGTAGATGGTGGTGAAAAGATGGGGAAGGATAAGGTCAAGCTGAAAACTGCTTGAAGGTACCCAAAATTACAAGTTATAGAGAGACAGAGAGAATGGAGGCCATGCAAGAGGAATTAAATGACTTGTGAAACATAATAGCAATAACGAAATTCAGAAAGCAAAGCACGGCCAAGAAATCCACATTCATGCCGTCATTGTATACCTAAAGAAGGGCATTATATTAATATTTTTTATCAGGAAGTTATCTTATTATGAAAAATAAAGGTTATATGAATACTTAGATGAATGTGCTGTGCCATTCACATACATATTACTCAAGGGAATCTAATTGAAGTGCTCCGGATGTATAAGCTTTCAATCACTTGATCATAAAGGGAAAAGTGAGCATTGTCATTACAAGTATTAGCACGTTTTCCAATCATTTATCCCGCACAGAAACAATAACTATAAGACAACCATCCATGCACCATCTTGCATGCGTATGAAGGAAGTTTTGTAGCACCAAGCCAAGAATTGATTGGCCAAAGATCTAAAAAATGGGCACCACAAACACAAAAGTGTTTTGGTTGGAGAACATTGATTTGAAAGTCCACCAGAACCGCAATCTATAGTTAAATAACTGCAATTCGGTTCAATATTATAACATCTTGCTTTTAGAAATGGTGGGACAAATTTATCCTTGCTTTATACCACACAGGCAGTTGAGCCTATATATCGTGCCTGGGGAAAGCAAGAATCAGGTAAAATGATTAAAATTTAAGCTGTAAACCTCAGATTCCAAGAATTGCCGTATGGCAGTATGCATATTTACTTATCCAAAACATACCCCAAACATGGCTATTTGAGTTGACGAGCCTATTGCCACTCCCAAAGAAATGTCCTGATCATGAACAGACTAATTAAAAACCATGATCTAACCCATATCTGAGATATAAAATACAGCAAACACATACAAGTTTGTCTTTCACTGCAAACATAACAGCGCCAGCATGTTCTGCAGCATTCCCAACAATTGGTAGCAGTATAACACTTATAAATGCCACTGGAATGTTCATTGCAGCAGATGCCCCCTGAAAAATAACCATTTTACCATAAGAGTGCATCACCTGGATGACATTTGATTCTCCTCGTACCCCATAGCTGACATAACAATATCTTGCTAAGAAAATTTGGGGGGCCCACAAATGTTACCTCTATGGCGTTAACCAGGTATTCTGACAGGACGGATATCAGAAAAGTCAGTAGAAACAACCATGTAATAGATTCCCACTTTGAGATCTCTGGAGGTTCATCATCATCTGAGCCACCATCCGTCGGAGTCCCTTCCTGAATTTGCATTGTTTTCCAGTTAAAACCAACTATAAATAAAATCTATGCTTAAAAGACAACTATAAGTGAACCTGGAAAAAGTTAAAAGACAATAAAAATTAAATTCAGATTCATGTATAACACCCAAGTCCCCATGAAATTAAAAAGATGAGCAAGGAATGCATTTGACAATAAGAGAACAATGATGAAGTGACCAACCTCATTTATAGGGGAATAGAGGTTCTTTTCGCTTGTTAGCTGGAAAAAAAGGTATGCACCATATGCTATAATCATAATGCAACTACTAAACCTTGACAGCATGAGCTCAGACTTGCCAAAATGCAACTCAGTGTGCGTGAAGTGGAGGACAGCTGGGAATAAGAGACACATCACTGCCATCAAGAGTAATCCCGAGTTCATCACTGCAGATGCCTAAAACATGATATAATTTAGTTAACTATAATGTTAGAGAGTTGAACAACAGAGAAAAAATTTCAAGAAGTTCATCTCTTCCAGAATGGCAAAAGCATAATAACAGGTCATGTCACCTACCTTGTTAAACACCTGCTCCTTACTGCAATGCACAATTCCACCACAAAAAAATGCACAGCCAAGTACCAACAGCATGTTCGAAAGAATTGATCCCAATAACGACTGCTGAACAACGCGTAACATGCCACTATTCATTGCATGCATTGATATTATCAACTCTGTTGCATTCCCAAATGTAGCATTTAAAAGACCCCCAACTGCATAAACAACCAACAGATACTGTTAACATGGTTTCAATGTTATCAAATAATCTTAAACCCCAAATCCACAATAGTTGCATCACTAACATCTGAAGATTTACCAGTGCGCTTCCTTTCATCGATGCATATCAGACAATCAATTTTTCAAAGGCATTCCTTGTGACAATAGTTGCCACACCCTTTAAACTTAATGACATCTAAACTTGTCTCGAATCACTGTGTTCTTTTCTTTCACCCTTCCTCTTACAACTAAATTATTCATGAGCTATTACCTCATTTCTCCGAAAACGTTTTTCTACCATCTATAGATTATAAAAATGGCTTAACAGCTACCATAAAAATGCATTTTTTTCCTTATACAAATCATATCAACATAATGATCTTAACGAGGGAGGTAGAGAGCATAACAACATTAAAGCCTGACCCTCATCTTCAACATTCACATTTTCAAATTCAGAATAATCTTATTAAACTCGTCTAGATGAGATTTAATAGGTGCATATTCTGTCATCTGATTGTTATATAAATGTTCTTTCAAACACAATCTGCTGAAGAGGGATTTCATCATGCATAGATTATCCTACTTAAGCCATTACGCAGCAGCCGACATTCCATAGCAACCCCATGTAGCATCTCATTCGACAGTGACAACTAAAACTACACAATCTGCCCACTCCAGGAGATTGCGTTTTCCACCTTTGGGCATTGTTATTAGCAAATCCTCTTTACCCTTTAGCTCCTTAAACAACCTTTGTTGAACTAAAATACCACATTTTCGCAGATGTCTGCCATCAAGTTTCTCAATTTCATATTTAGTTACCACTAAAAAACAAAACCACCAAAGAACGAGGCTCAGGTACAAGTGTTACACAAGCCCCAAAATTGGATTTCAGGTATAAAGAAAAAATGGTTCGGTACTAGGCCTACGTCTACAGGCAGGAGCAAGGAAGAAATTTGTTACTCGACAAAGAAGACTAGAAAAGAGTAATAGGAACTCAATTCCACTGTCAGAATACTCGATAAATATTTATTCCCAGTGAGAATGAGATACCAAAGCCTCACCCAAAAAGATAGCTCCTTATGACTATCACTCAAATTGAGATAATTGCAATGTACAAATTAAGTTTAAATATACTTTATAGGATAACAAAGGGGATGACTAACTAATAGACTTATGATGTGAGAAAATATAAACCATAATTGACATAAATGTAGAGATTCTAAGTCTGATAAATAATTGTTTAAATTAGATGAAATTGAAGGCGTTTGAAGAATTGATAAATCATAATGAGGATTTGAACAAGTTGAAGAAAAACCTGTGGGTCCAGTGTAGAAAGCCAGCTGCCTACATTAAGGGAAAAAACAATAATCATCTCGATTTATCATCAATCAATCCAACAAAAAGCAAAAAAAATGAATAAAGGTCCGTATTGTGCAAACTAAGTACAAGCAATAATGCAAACTAAAGCCACTCTATATAAATCGATAGTCCTCTTGAAAAGGAAAAAAATAATAATAATACTTTATCGTTGTTTGGTATCCTTGAGAAAGTTCCTTTGCTCACAAGTCTCTGTTCCTTAATAGTAAAATAGATCTTTCACTCCTCCTTAGTTGAACAATGACAAGCAATCATTTGTAAAAAAAAAAGGGGAGTAAATTGGTCGGCGTGTATATTAATTGTCATAATATGCCTCTAGACCGTATATATTAATTATCATACGTATGCCTCTAGACTGTATATATTAATTGTCATACATATGCCTCTAGACCTATCTTTCTGCTGATGCCACACATTTATATTTGATGTTTAGAATCTTACTCTGTAGCCCAGCCCAAACGTTCTGCCAGTGGAATGATGCCTAATAAGCTTAGAAAGAATACCCATCCCTGAAAGCATATGAGAAATACACCAGATAAAGAAATGCATCTTGTATGTTAAAAGAAGTTGCAGCCAGAAGAAAATTGAAACTCACATGATGGTTTGTTAATTTATCAACTACTATTGCTAAAGGGCCACAAGATGCCAGCAAGTTCAATTTGCTGGAAAACAAAACGATCTTAATACTGTTAAGTGTGCTATTTAATATATATTTACAACCAAACTCTTCCGTTCCAAAACCAAAGAAAGATCTGTGAGGAGCTACATCCACAGAACGTGTTTTTATATCCGATGGCTGAGGACTGACTATGCTCTCATCTTCAAGCTCCATTACTGATCTTCCGTCTATCGGTCCCATCTGTTGAACCATTCTTTTCATCATATATCATTAAACAGAGATTCCATATTCCAAAGTATTAAAAGAATCAATAAATCTGCGTTACCACCATCTCTAATTTATTGAGCCATAAAATATCTGAGAAATGGTTTTGTCATCAATTATTATCACAGTTATCCATCACGGCTGATGGGTATCTATCGTAAGCATTTCAAGTTGATATAAACTATAAAGGATCATCCGTCTGAATTACACAGAACAATACTGCGTAGGTAGAACTTTGCAATACTAAGGAAATTATAATATATTAGTTGCCATATGCCATACTCAGGTAATTTTTCACCCAGTTGCTATTGATTAAACATTAGTTGCCATATGCTGTACTAAGGTAAATAATATTTACTCAGTATTCAGTATCTGCCTGCTGGGAAGAAGGGAAAATCACTGAAGGGAAAATATAGATTTTTTTTTTTAGAAAATACCTCAATATGAGAGTTGATCCCTGCCATGTGTGAATGGTTATTAGCCATCCACTACAATTGCTGTTGCAAATAGAGAAAAACAAACCACGTTCCCATTTCCAAACAACGGCATAACCACTCCACCGCCCAATCGCCACTCAACCGCCGAGAAAATTATTCAAAAACCTAAATCTTAACAAATTACAAAAAATTATAATCAATCTTGAATTATAACATAAGCAAAAGGACCTAAATCTTCAAAAACTAATATCATTAATTACAAAGCTAACGGTTTAAAAATCTTGAAAATAACGAAACAAAAAATCAAGAATCAGCCCACTTCGATTTCCCCAAGAATTCCGCTCTGACCCACAAAAGACAATCAGATAATTTGGTTTAGGGAGAAAGTCTTACCTATTGACTGTTGCTACATACCCATATGGTCATTCGCATGATAGCAAATTTGTCAAACAGTAGGAAGAAAGTAGAGTCTTAAGGGCTGGATAATCAAACCATCGTAAAATTCGTCGAAATTTCTTGCCAACATTTTCACATGTGTCTGTTTCTTTGAATTGAATATTTTCCTTCTTCGTTATTCACTTATTTGGGCGAGGTTTGCGCAGGAGAAGTGAATGAAGGGATGGTCTACGCGGAAAGAGACAGTTAAAGTAGTTATTCTTATTCAAGTTCAATTCATTAATTCATATAAGTATTACAATATTTCTCTTTGACGATGATTATTCGAAACTTTTTTTTTTTTTTGCAAATTTATTTTCAATCACATATTCGATAAAATATTATGTACGAAAATCTACAATTTTTTCCTTCTTTTTAATCATACATTTATCTAAAAATTACTATTCAATACATTATTTTTCTCAAATAATGATTGTCAAACAAAGAGGCGTAATATTTATGTTCCCAAACAGATCATTTAGTGCATTCATGTTTCCAGCTCAGTTTATTTGACTCTCAAATGACCACTTCAACACGTGAATGTTAGATTAAAATAATAAAATTATTCATAAGGATCTCATATTTGAAAGAGAAATTATGATTGTACACCATGCCATACAACATGGTGTACAGTTCTCTCACATAGAGGGGTCCACAAATTTGAGGGGGTTGTACACCATGTTTATGTACATGTAGCGGTTCTTTATTTGAAAACAATCCTAATGATGACTTCAACTTCCATATAAATATTTGAAAAACGTAAAATTCTTCTGTGTATAAATTATAAAATAATGCTGCAGGGTCACGTCAGCTCTTTACATGATCACATGTCTATCCCACTAGTACGTATAGGCAGTGTCGTACCTATGTTTCCCTAGGTTTGAAGCGAACTTTAAAATTTTGACTTTTAAGTCATAACAGACAATTCATTTTTATTATTTAAAAGAGTCTTACAGAACTTTTTTTTTGCCCATGTTTCAGTCCATGCAGGTACATGTTTCCATTTGCTGGTCTTGGTCCTCTTGGATTATCTTCTCTGCCTTTAGACAAAACAAACTAAGAGCTTGTTTGGGAGGGATTAAAATTGAAAATATAGCCATTGAAGTTGACTTTTATTAGACGAGTGGGACCCAATAACGACTATATTTTCAATTTTAATTGAATTTTAATCCTTCTCAAACAAGTTCTAAATTTTATTCTCCGTGAATTTATGATCTGACTATGTGGATCTTATTTTGTTTTTCAGTTCATTCGATACTGCATTCTTTCTGAATTTTTTTCATCACTCTTTTATATATCTTAAAATATCAGTGTTTATTTGATATTAGGTGAAAAATTTAGAAAACCCACATTGTTTAACTTGAGAATTAGAGTGAAAAAAATTACCTTGGAGCGATGATTTCGAGTGCAGGCTAACGGTTGTGCAGCTTCCAATGGATTGAAGAATGAAGGCTTAGGTTATTAAAAAAAAAAAAAAGGATAGAAAAAAATGGGCCCCTAAAAAAGTTGGGCCTGAGTCGGAGGCCTTGGGCCTCTCCTCAGGTCCAGCCCAGCCCTGTGTACAGGCCCAACATTGCCCTATACATGTAGCACCGTTCTAAATTATATCATTTACTTCGACTCATCTGCAACATCGCGTGAGTGTCATGAGGCCATCTAACAATGAAATAATTTTTTTTTAATTAGTTGGGGACATAAGTGCATCAATTTAAAAATATTAGAAACGTGAGCATCACACCTTTGAAAAGTTTGGGACTTCTAATGAAATTTACCCTTCTATAGGTATTTATGTACCAAACTAGTATTGTTAAAATAAATAAATAATAATAAAGTTATCATAGCATAGTGTCATGAATGACATTTACTCCTCTTTGATTTTGCTAAAAAAATAATATTTTTAGTAAATTTTGATTTAAAATTTTTTTTTTATTGAAATATTATAAAAGTTGTGGATTATATCAATATATGTGTATCTAAAATTAATTGTTAACTTTGATTTTATGAATAGAGATTCTAGAAACTATTTTTGTGAGGGCCTCTTAGAGATATTATGAACATTTCCGTAGAGATCAAGGTAATTTTATTTTGATAAAATTGAATAAATTTACAAAATTGATGGACAAAAACTCCTCTCTATGTATATATTATTTCCTCCTAGATCTTACAATAAAGGCAAGTTATCTATTGTAGGAGAGTGCATTATGAGTCATGCTATTTGTACAACCAAATGGATGACTTACAAGTTGACATACACTCACAATGGGGGGTTCACCTTTTTTTTAAAATTTTTTAAACATGCTGACCCCGCACACATGTGAGAAATTGTCAACCTCTTATGTACAAATAAAATTTCCCATTGTATTATTACCCCTACTTCTGTATTATTTCCCCTTCAATCTCAGCTTTTGAAAAACTGTATCCTTATGTAAGTCTCTATTCCATTTTA